AAAAAAAAAAAAAAGCCAGTTGGAAATCAAAGGCCAATTTAAAATGTTGATGTAAAACTTCACTGAAAGTACAATTCAGGTGCAACTGCTATGGCCACTTTAAGAAAAGCTAAGAACTCAGATATAAAAGAAATTAAATGGCAAATAAAATACAACAGCAGCATCTAAAAACACTGTAATTCCCAGTTCAGCGGATGCCTCTATACCCCTCATGCCTGGTCCTGTGGAGGAGGCCTGTTAGGGCAGTATCTGCACAGAATGCACAATAGATGATCTCTATCTAGTCCAGAGAGGCAGGGCTTCAGCAAGTTAGGTGCTGGGGCAATGGAACTCATGTTTAAGTGTCACAGGCTTACAGTGGTTATGCCCTACTCGTAACAGGAGGCATCTCACACATTCTGGTCCTGCCCTTGAGAGATCTTGTCAGTAACCTCAACTTTGAACAACTGTCTTGGGTATGTGACTAGACATTAAACAGCTGGGACTCCTGCCATGTTTTGCAACTCTTCCTCCAGAGCCCAGGGTATATTTTAAACTCCATTAGCCCTATTATCAGCCAATGCAACTTTGGGGAGAGTACAGCTGCAACCCAAAACCCTAGAACAGGGCACTTGAACAGGCACCAGACAAACGACATCCCTCAACAGCACTTTCAAATCAGCACTTGTTCTTAAAAAGATCTAGAATTAACTTTGACATGGATAGGACCTTCTAGCTTTATATGTAAGTACACAAGCACACCAGCTATCTCAAGGTCAGTAGCTCGTAATCTTATTCTAGGATATACACTCAATTTTCATTTGAATATATTTTACGATTAAGAGATTCTACGGCACTGTTTTTGTTCCTTCTCTTTTGGATCTGTCACAGTACCACTTTAATTCTTAGAATATTCTCTGCAACATGGAACTTATCAGTAAGCATATAAGCAGAAAACTAAAGAAAAGATGCTGTGTGCATCCTTACTGGGAAATCCCAATAGATTAAGGCAGCCATATCATTTTGTGTTTTGAGGGAGAGGGTGACTGGAGTTAAAGAGAACAAGGTATCTAAAAACAAGGTTATGACACAGTGCCAGACAGGGAAGTTCAGAGATGACAAGGACCTCCTGGCAGCTCAAGGTCACTGTTAGTGCCTCAGTGCTTCAGACCTAATTCCTCCACATGATGGCTGAACACAGGTGGCAGTACCCACAAACAAATGCTTTTCTCCATGCAGCACTACCTTCCAAAGGGCAGTTCTTGGCCTTTGAGCTATACTGTGCAGGTCTCACCGCTATCCTAGCTGTTCATTCTCCTGCCTTCAGCAGTTTTCCATTTATGGACCCCCCAACAAGCCTGCTAGACCATGCTAATGTTTTAACTTGGTGAGGATTACACTACTGGACTTCAAAAGTCAATGGTAGCTGTGTGTAGACACTTTAGTCATGACATACACTCAGGTTTTTCACAACTTGGTCTGAACACACACTGGATTACTTGGCACACTGAAGGGTCCAAGATGTCACCTCCAAAAGGCTTATTTTCAGACACCTGCCAGATAGTACCACAGCTCTGAGATTGGAACCAGCAGATCTGCTGTAAGTGCTACGTTCTTTAGTCAAAGGGTACATTCACACAGTGACCCTACAAAAGCCTCAAGGAGTTAGGGCCCTCCGAGGCGGGGGAGTGGGCTGAGCAGGACACTTCGGAGCCCAGCCAACTCACTGTCGATGGTGGGCTAGCAACCTCAGAGTCAGTGGTATTCAATGTCAGCTTTCCTGAGGGAAGAAGTACACAACAGACCAAGAGATGAAAAGGATGCTCAACAGCCATGACGGGAAAGAAAATCCACCCCTTTTAAAGCAAGAACGAGTTCAGAAGTGACCAGATGTCATGGCCTTGTTTAAATGGAAGCAGAAGTCAAAGATCTGAAGAGCAGAGTTTCCTCCCTGCATGGAGAAAGGGAGGGAAGGGGACCACTAGTTGGGCACAAAATCCAATCCCATCTGTTTCTGTTTCTGCTCCCAATTCCTCTCTCTGCTCATCTAAGAATGACAGGCAGTTTCCTAACCTTCCTCCCCTGATGCCTCCTTCTGCTCCCCACAGCAACAGGCAGGTGTTAATGCTCCCTGGATAGGGTGGAATTTAGGGCCCAGAGAACTGGATGCCCTGAAATCAGAGCAACAGGAAAAAAATGTAAAAAGCTTAGAGGTCAGAGGTAGTTTTAATTACTACTGATGTACAATTCTTGATTGCTTTGCCCTTTTTCAGCCTGGGAGATCTTAGGGGCAAAATCATTAAGGAAATGTTTTTCAGTGCTTAGGCATCATGGTGAGGTGCCTTGGCAGGGCCTAGAATCCAAAAACAGTCTAACTTTTTCCTTTGCCAAAGGTCAGCTTCCCAACAGCACCTCAAACCACTTCTTTGTGAGCAGGAAAAGGGATGAAGAGGAGTAAATCACTAGGCAAAGAATTAGAACGTGTTAGCAAATGCCACCATGCAGAACACTCAGCTTTATTCGTTTTATTTATATATTTAACAATTCTAAAGTATTTACTTCTTGCTTTGACAAAAAATGAAAAATATAGGAGCACTGACTCCTCTTTAGGAGAAAAAGGTTATATGTACAGCTATGGAGAGTTACGGTTCCTCCTTTACATACAAAGAAAAATATTAATAAAAAAGTGCTTCATTGATCAAAAAAGGGCTAAGAGCTGCAAGCATTTATTCACACTGTACATCCGACCCAAGAAACCCGTATCATAACCTCTTGGCACCTGTCACTAGGAACTGCACAATCTTCAACTACATTGACTTCTCCCTATCTGCACAAGCCCACGCAGAGTGGAGAAGAACTACACCCTGTTTCACTAAACACGGACTCCAAGCAATCTGCTGCTGTGGGAGTCGGGATCATGCTCAAGATGCTCTGGGATTTGGCTGGACAGTACCAGGGAAGGTGTCTGGGCCACATGTAACCATACTGAAAGACACGTAGGAGCCACCTTCCTAAGACACAGCTTGCCCTTGGCCAGGGAACTGCCTCCAAAGGGGAAGAGGAGGACTGGGAAGGGTGGAACTTCAGTGTTACCTGACCTCACACTCACTTCCTCACCATGATCTGCCCTGTTACCAGTTTTCAGCAGAGCCAAGTGTGGCCCTTCCCCTCCCCCAAGAAGGAGGGCAGGCACAAAACATGGAGCCAACCTTACAGAGCACAAACCTAAACTTCTCTCCACTCTTCCCCATACTCACTTCCACCACAAATATTCTTGATTTAAGGCTCTTTTTGGACCACATTAAATCTCACTGAGGAAAGGTGCCCTGAATCTCCCCTCAAGACAAGTCACTTCTCTAAGGAACCTTGCAAAATCACCAACTATCCCTTCCCTCTTAACCATCAGCTAGTGGGCATGTGCTCACTCAGGTAGTCAGGAGTAGAGCAGGGGAACCACTGGGTGCTTTGTGCTGCCCAAAGAAGGGAAGGAGGAGGAAGGCTGATTGTGTGGGGACCTTTCCAACTCTAAAGGCTGATTCTACCACTTAAATGGGAGATCCATGATTTGTTTGGTTTGGGAATGGGAATTTTTGGAACCCTGAGTCTGGACTTCCCTGCGCTGGCTGAGGAAGAGAGATTGTTTGTGGGATCAGGCCCTGGAATGGGGCTCTGGGGTATGCCTGGGCTCAGGGGAAGCCTTGGCCCCAGCACTTTTATGCCCAAGAAAGCAGTACCCAGCCTACCCAGGGAACAGCTCCCTGAAAGTGAAGGGAGCCTTACACAATCTGGGTCAAGTTAAAAACAGAATCCCATGGGGAACAACATGCTGACCACCCACCCCCAGTTCCTCTCACCTGCCTCAAAGAGCACACACCTTCTTTCCCAATAGGAGTTTGGGGGTTCCATGCATTATGTACCCCTCCCTCCAAGTGCCAATCCTGCGTATCTGTGAGGTGGGATGGGCCCTCTCTCAGGAGGGAGAGGCACCTAGGGCAGTGTTCTTGGGAAGATGCTTCCAGCCTCTCCAGCGGCAAAGGTTTCCCAACCAGTCTGATGTGGTGGCATGAGGAATGGTCACATATATTAGTACTGGCTTTCTTTCCTATTCACTGTCTCAGGCCTTTATTCCTCGCTGACCAACCTTCTACACCAAGAAGCACCATGCCATCCCTCAGTGTGCCTGATAGAAGGCAGCTCAGCAGTTAGAGGGGGCCTGGCAACCCCTGGTCTTTCATTAAAAAAAACAAAATTAAGACAACCTGGGGACCTGTTTGTTTTTGAAGGCAGAAGGAAGATAGAAAAGGGAGAGGGGTTAAAAGAAAAATCAATCTAAAATCCAGTGGCACATCCCAATTTCTGTCACTCTGTACAGGTGGTTCCATGCCCCACTCCAAAGTGCACAGGCCTCTCAGTCTTCCCAGGCTACATGGGCCTGTCAGAGGAACAGCAGCTTGGCCTCTGCCCACCCCAGGTCACTGAGCTTCAGTTTGAAGTGGCAGCAATGGGCTTATCCAGTTCAAGGTCAATGCTGGAGCTCGTGGGATGTAGGCTGCTATAGCAAGCCTTGCACACTCGACTGGGTTCAAACAGCTGCTGGCTAGGAACCGGAACCTTCTGGTTACAACAACTGGAGCAGAATACGTTCCCACAATTCCTTGAGATGAGAAAAAACAAACAAAAATGTTAGTTTTGGCTAGCAGATATGGAGTGGGAAAACAACCTCAAAAGACAGAATTTTGTTGTGTGTAATTCAGATGTGCTAGAGACTCCTCTGAGATTAAACCCTGGGCAAGGAAGACATCTCTAATCTACCAGAATCACGGGTCACTTTCACTTTGGGGTCACAAACACTTGCCTGCCTTACCATAATGGCTCAAGGTTATCAGGTGAGTAGGATGTGCTCAAGAGAATCTGCAAGAACAAATGGGTTCAGCAGCAGCAGCTGCTAGCTCAATGGAAAAACCCTGATCCAGGAACTTACCCAATGACCATACCCACCTGGGCAATGGCCTCTGTGTAGCTTGTGATCACTGAGAAGCTCAAGTCAAATGAAGCTGTCTCTGGGCCCCTCAGAGGAGGCAGATAATCACCCTGCTCTGCTGAGGTTAAAAAGCCTTGCCCAAGGGCCACTGTTCTGGAGGCTCAGAGGGAACAAACTGGGAGGGCAGACTGTTGTCATCTAATACTGCTCTGTAGGCAGCATGCAAAGCCAGGAGTCAAGCAGCCCATGATGCATGCTCAGAGACTGGAAAAGGAGAGGTGGAAGGATAAGCATGTGGATAAGCATACATGCACACACCCCATTATTAGATAGCTGTCAGTCAGTTATGGCTTACTACCCTCCTCTATGCATCTGCAGGGAAACTTAGGGCTCTACCCAAGGGCCTGACTGCACATAGGCCCAGGATACCCTCTCCTCCTCTACCAAAAGCCCTGCTCTGATGCATCAGTGCAGTACAGGTCCATACATCCTGACCAATACCTGTCAGAGCTAGGAGAAGAAAAGTGATAGAGGATAGTTTCTGTCTGACTTACAACCTACTTTTGCTGGGCCTTAAAGTATAAGCCAATCCCAAAGAGCCCGGTATAAGAAATTCCAAGAGGCCTGATAAGCTAGGGGAAGGCATTTACAGGAAAAAAAACAAAACACCTTTTAAACAGCATCACTCACTACCTTTGCAAACCCACCACTGGAATCAGGGGACTCAGGCACAAGAAGAGCGCTATGGAAGAATACTACAAAAGGAAAAGGTGGGACATAGGGCAATGGAAAGACAGAGAAGTAAAACAAACACAAAACTTCATCTTCTAGAATGCAGTAAGTACCTCATAACTGTGTCTTAAAAACATCAGTAAGAACCTGTGGTTACACAGGAAAACTTCTGAATGACTGCATTTCTTTAATGTACATGCTAGAGCTCAGCACAAAAGCCTGACATGACTTTCAACAGTTATGCTTTTCTACATGACTTCTTTCAGGGGACCTGGGAAGATTGGAGTGCAGTCTTCCCTTAAAGTCTTCCATGCTAAAACAATTTTCTGGGAAGATCATCTCTATTCAGACTTCTCTCTTCAAAAACAAAACCAGGAGCAGTGCTATTATCTGACCTGAAGTAACACATCATCTCTCACTGAATGACCAACCCAAAGGAAATAGCTCTGAAAAATCTAAATGGCTCCCCACAAGATTAGCCCCTGCAGAAGCATCACTTCCTGTCAAAAGCAAGATGGACAGGCTGACCTGAATGGTCAGGAGGGGAGCACTTGCTATAGCTGGAGCCTCACCCTTCACGGTCTCCTCTATTAGCTGCTGTGGATTTCCCCAACCCCACCTTGCCTGCCTGTGCTTCCCTGCCCCAGGCTTCAACCCAGTGAGTGCAGAGAGGGGGAATAATAGCATTAGTGTGAAGTTACTGTAGATGTGCAGACATCACAGACAGGTTGTTGCAGATGCTCACCACGTTTGATCAACACGGTCAATGTCCCTGCAAGGAGGGGAGAAAGAGCTCAGAGAAGAAGCCAACCAAAGACATTCGGGCTTGGGGTACAAGATGGGAAAACACATGGTCCTAGAAGCATCATTAACAGACAAAGAGGTTGATCTATTTTCAATCCAGCCTCACTTGTATAGGTGAGCCATGGCTTGATTCGGATAAATTTCCTATCCCAAGAAGACTGAACATCTCCATCTGCCACACAGTCACACCCCAGCTGGGCCAAAGCATCCCTAGTAACTCACTACTTAAACCTAGAAGGAGAGAGAAGTTGGGAGCCCTTAGGATTAAAGACTGTCCTCAGCTATTTCTACTACTCCCTCCAGCTATGTCTGCTCATTAATGACACAGAGGGTAAGTTCAGAACCAGAGAGCAGAGAAAGAGTAGAAAAATGAAGTTCTCTGACCATTGCAGAAAACTTTTTGTTCATAGTAGCCATGTTGCACTTTACACTGGGAAGAAGACAGTGATTTGAGTGGTATTGCCCCACCAACCTGGGAGACAATAATCATTTACCCATTTCAAAATCTAATAGTGATCACTCCAAACTAAAACAAAGATACCAAATGCACTTCTGCAAACACAAAAGAGAGGAGACCCCGGGGTCCGCTCAGTCAGAACACTTCCAGCAGAAGCCTGCTACTTTCCACTCTGCAGGCTCTGTGTAGTCTCCATACCCCAGCCCATCCTACCATATTCTCAATGTACCTGCAGTGGTGCTTCCTGCTGGCAAGCCAGAAGGCACTGTCACAGGCGTAGCAGTGGGCAGCCAGGTGGTCAGGGAGCCAACGGGTCATCTGCAAAACATGTGGGGCCAGTTTAGTGACTGGAAATAGGCCATCCAGCTGGAGCCAACAGAGCCAGGCTGGGGGCAGCAAGAGTCACATGGATCACATAGGCTCCTGTGGCACCAGCTCAACAGGTCTGATGTCAACAGTACAAGAAAGGCGTCCACATCATTTCCCTGGAGGTGACTCCAACCTCCCTTGACATAAAGTGGCAGGCAGCAGCACCTTGGTCACTGTGAGAGCTCATATTCATGGAGACTCATATTCATGGAGACAATGGAGAGAGAAGGCCAGTTCGCTGAGTCTCCCTGGCTTAGAAATGATGGACTAGATGTAGGTTCACAGGAACTGAAATGCCAGAGGCTCAAGGCTAACTGTATTATGATGTCCTTCCTTGGCCAGGGGTATGGGGCAGGGATGAGGGTAGAGAAGAACTGCAGAACGGTTGCACGGATGGTACTCAGAGCAGGGGTTGAGCCTGTACCTCTGTGTCCTGTTTATCCACCTGCTCCCAGCTGGCTTCAGAGAAAATCTCTGTGCTGCAGCGAGACAAACAGTTCTGATCCAGATTGCTTTCCGAGTCGGGTATTGAGGTCTGTTGGCAAACAAACATAGCTGAACAGAATGAACCTGGTCTCCTCCCAAAAGAAGAAAGGGTTTGGTGAAGAACGGAGCAGTGGGGACTATGGATGAGCCTGAGTGCTAGCGCTGCTGAATTTGCAGATGCATCAGCCACTGAGCTTCATGTTGAACAACTGCAGAGACAGGATGGGCCTGAAAGCGGGACACATGGGTTGGCTGCAGTGATATTAGAATGGAAAGACAGGCCTCAGGGTTCAAGAAGTGAGGAAAGTGACCAGGATGAGTGGAAACTCCCAGTTTCAGCTGCTCTGAGGGGCCTGCTGATCCAACCTTGCCACTTAGTTAAAACTGCTTTGGCTACACGCTCATTTCTCTGAAGGACTCTTTGCAACAATGAGAAACCATCACTAGTATGAAAGAAAAGCCAAAAAGTTACTTTGGATTGAAAATCATCAGATATGCCCGCCTTTAATGTACGCTGACTGCTTCAGAGCCTGGCTCATACTTGCACTTGACGGACCCATGCAGGTCTGTCAAGAAAATATTCATTTAAAAAATATTTTTTAAATGAATATTTTCTTGACAGACCTGCATGGGTCCGTCAAGTGCAAGTATGAGCCAGGCTCTGAAGCAGTCAGCGTACATTAAAGGCGGGCATATCTGATGATTTTCAATCCAAAGTAACTTTTTGGCTTTTCTTTCATACTAGTGATGGTTTCTCATTGTTGCAAAGAGTCCTTCAGAGAAATGAGCGTGTAGCCAAAGCAGTTTTAACTAAGTGGCAAGGTTGGATCAGCAGGCCCCTCAGAGCAGCTGAAACTGGGAGTTTCCACTCATCCTGGTCACTTTCCTCACTTCTTGAACCCTGAGGCCTGTCTTTCCATTCTAATATCACTGCAGCCAACCCATGTGTCCCGCTTTCAGGCCCATCCTGTCTCTGCAGTTGTTCAACATGAAGCTCAGTGGCTGATGCATCTGCAAATTCAGCAGCGCTAGCACTCAGGCTCATCCATAGTCCCCACTGCTCCGTTCTTCACCAAACCCTTTCTTCTTTTGGGAGGAGACCAGGTTCATTCTGTTCAGCTATGTTTGTTTGCCAACAGACCTCAATACCCGACTCGGAAAGCAATCTGGATCAGAACTGTTTGTCTCGCTGCAGCACAGAGATTTTCTCTGAAGCCAGCTGGGAGCAGGTGGATAAACAGGACACAGAGGTACAGGCTCAACCCCTGCTCTGAGTACCATCCGTGCAACCGTTCTGCAGTTCTTCTCTACCCTCATCCCTGCCCCATACCCCTGGCCAAGGAAGGACATCATAATACAGTTAGCCTTGAGCCTCTGGCATTTCAGTTCCTGTGAACCTACATCTAGTCCATCATTTCTAAGCCAGGGAGACTCAGCGAACTGGCCTTCTCTCTCCATTGTCTCCATGAATATGAGTCTCCATGAATATGAGCTCTCACAGTGACCAAGGTGCTGCTGCCTGCCACTTTATGTCAAGGGAGGTTGGAGTCACCTCCAGGGAAATGATGTGGACGCCTTTCTTGTACTGTTGACATCAGACCTGTTGAGCTGGTGCCACAGGAGCCTATGTGATCCATGTGACTCTTGCTGCCCCCAGCCTGGCTCTGTTGGCTCCAGCTGGATGGCCTATTTCCAGTCACTAAACTGGCCCCACATGTTTTGCAGATGACCCGTTGGCTCCCTGACCACCTGGCTGCCCACTGCTACGCCTGTGACAGTGCCTTCTGGCTTGCCAGCAGGAAGCACCACTGCAGGTACATTGAGAATATGGTAGGATGGGCTGGGGTATGGAGACTACACAGAGCCTGCAGAGTGGAAAGTAGCAGGCTTCTGCTGGAAGTGTTCTGACTGAGCGGACCCCGGGGTCTCCTCTCTTTTGTGTTTGCAGAAGTGCATTTGGTATCTTTGTTTTAGTTTGGAGTGATCACTATTAGATTTTGAAATGGGTAAATGATTATTGTCTCCCAGGTTGGTGGGGCAATACCACTCAAATCACTGTCTTCTTCCCAGTGTAAAGTGCAACATGGCTACTATGAACAAAAAGTTTTCTGCAATGGTCAGAGAACTTCATTTTTCTACTCTTTCTCTGCTCTCTGGTTCTGAACTTACCCTCTGTGTCATTAATGAGCAGACATAGCTGGAGGGAGTAGTAGAAATAGCTGAGGACAGTCTTTAATCCTAAGGGCTCCCAACTTCTCTCTCCTTCTAGGTTTAAGTAGTGAGTTACTAGGGATGCTTTGGCCCAGCTGGGGTGTGACTGTGTGGCAGATGGAGATGTTCAGTCTTCTTGGGATAGGAAATTTATCCGAATCAAGCCATGGCTCACCTATACAAGTGAGGCTGGATTGAAAATAGATCAACCTCTTTGTCTGTTAATGATGCTTCTAGGACCATGTGTTTTCCCATCTTGTACCCCAAGCCCGAATGTCTTTGGTTGGCTTCTTCTCTGAGCTCTTTCTCCCCTCCTTGCAGGGACATTGACCGTGTTGATCAAACGTGGTGAGCATCTGCAACAACCTGTCTGTGATGTCTGCACATCTACAGTAACTTCACACTAATGCTATTATTCCCCCTCTCTGCACTCACTGGGTTGAAGCCTGGGGCAGGGAAGCACAGGCAGGCAAGGTGGGGTTGGGGAAATCCACAGCAGCTAATAGAGGAGACCGTGAAGGGTGAGGCTCCAGCTATAGCAAGTGCTCCCCTCCTGACCATTCAGGTCAGCCTGTCCATCTTGCTTTTGACAGGAAGTGATGCTTCTGCAGGGGCTAATCTTGTGGGGAGCCATTTAGATTTTTCAGAGCTATTTCCTTTGGGTTGGTCATTCAGTGAGAGATGATGTGTTACTTCAGGTCAGATAATAGCACTGCTCCTGGTTTTGTTTTTGAAGAGAGAAGTCTGAATAGAGATGATCTTCCCAGAAAATTGTTTTAGCATGGAAGACTTTAAGGGAAGACTGCACTCCAATCTTCCCAGGTCCCCTGAAAGAAGTCATGTAGAAAAGCATAACTGTTGAAAGTCATGTCAGGCTTTTGTGCTGAGCTCTAGCATGTACATTAAAGAAATGCAGTCATTCAGAAGTTTTCCTGTGTAACCACAGGTTCTTACTGATGTTTTTAAGACACAGTTATGAGGTACTTACTGCATTCTAGAAGATGAAGTTTTGTGTTTGTTTTACTTCTCTGTCTTTCCATTGCCCTATGTCCCACCTTTTCCTTTTGTAGTATTCTTCCATAGCGCTCTTCTTGTGCCTGAGTCCCCTGATTCCAGTGGTGGGTTTGCAAAGGTAGTGAGTGATGCTGTTTAAAAGGTGTTTTGTTTTTTTTCCTGTAAATGCCTTCCCCTAGCTTATCAGGCCTCTTGGAATTTCTTATACCGGGCTCTTTGGGATTGGCTTATACTTTAAGGCCCAGCAAAAGTAGGTTGTAAGTCAGACAGAAACTATCCTCTATCACTTTTCTTCTCCTAGCTCTGACAGGTATTGGTCAGGATGTATGGACCTGTACTGCACTGATGCATCAGAGCAGGGCTTTTGGTAGAGGAGGAGAGGGTATCCTGGGCCTATGTGCAGTCAGGCCCTTGGGTAGAGCCCTAAGTTTCCCTGCAGATGCATAGAGGAGGGTAGTAAGCCATAACTGACTGACAGCTATCTAATAATGGGGTGTGTGCATGTATGCTTATCCACATGCTTATCCTTCCACCTCTCCTTTTCCAGTCTCTGAGCATGCATCATGGGCTGCTTGACTCCTGGCTTTGCATGCTGCCTACAGAGCAGTATTAGATGACAACAGTCTGCCCTCCCAGTTTGTTCCCTCTGAGCCTCCAGAACAGTGGCCCTTGGGCAAGGCTTTTTAACCTCAGCAGAGCAGGGTGATTATCTGCCTCCTCTGAGGGGCCCAGAGACAGCTTCATTTGACTTGAGCTTCTCAGTGATCACAAGCTACACAGAGGCCATTGCCCAGGTGGGTATGGTCATTGGGTAAGTTCCTGGATCAGGGTTTTTCCATTGAGCTAGCAGCTGCTGCTGCTGAACCCATTTGTTCTTGCAGATTCTCTTGAGCACATCCTACTCACCTGATAACCTTGAGCCATTATGGTAAGGCAGGCAAGTGTTTGTGACCCCAAAGTGAAAGTGACCCGTGATTCTGGTAGATTAGAGATGTCTTCCTTGCCCAGGGTTTAATCTCAGAGGAGTCTCTAGCACATCTGAATTACACACAACAAAATTCTGTCTTTTGAGGTTGTTTTCCCACTCCATATCTGCTAGCCAAAACTAACATTTTTGTTTGTTTTTTCTCATCTCAAGGAATTGTGGGAACGTATTCTGCTCCAGTTGTTGTAACCAGAAGGTTCCGGTTCCTAGCCAGCAGCTGTTTGAACCCAGTCGAGTGTGCAAGGCTTGCTATAGCAGCCTACATCCCACGAGCTCCAGCATTGACCTTGAACTGGATAAGCCCATTGCTGCCACTTCAAACTGAAGCTCAGTGACCTGGGGTGGGCAGAGGCCAAGCTGCTGTTCCTCTGACAGGCCCATGTAGCCTGGGAAGACTGAGAGGCCTGTGCACTTTGGAGTGGGGCATGGAACCACCTGTACAGAGTGACAGAAATTGGGATGTGCCACTGGATTTTAGATTGATTTTTCTTTTAACCCCTCTCCCTTTTCTATCTTCCTTCTGCCTTCAAAAACAAACAGGTCCCCAGGTTGTCTTAATTTTGTTTTTTTTAATGAAAGACCAGGGGTTGCCAGGCCCCCTCTAACTGCTGAGCTGCCTTCTATCAGGCACACTGAGGGATGGCATGGTGCTTCTTGGTGTAGAAGGTTGGTCAGCGAGGAATAAAGGCCTGAGACAGTGAATAGGAAAGAAAGCCAGTACTAATATATGTGACCATTCCTCATGCCACCACATCAGACTGGTTGGGAAACCTTTGCCGCTGGAGAGGCTGGAAGCATCTTCCCAAGAACACTGCCCTAGGTGCCTCTCCCTCCTGAGAGAGGGCCCATCCCACCTCACAGATACGCAGGATTGGCACTTGGAGGGAGGGGTACATAATGCATGGAACCCCCAAACTCCTATTGGGAAAGAAGGTGTGTGCTCTTTGAGGCAGGTGAGAGGAACTGGGGGTGGGTGGTCAGCATGTTGTTCCCCATGGGATTCTGTTTTTAACTTGACCCAGATTGTGTAAGGCTCCCTTCACTTTCAGGGAGCTGTTCCCTGGGTAGGCTGGGTACTGCTTTCTTGGGCATAAAAGTGCTGGGGCCAAGGCTTCCCCTGAGCCCAGGCATACCCCAGAGCCCCATTCCAGGGCCTGATCCCACAAACAATCTCTCTTCCTCAGCCAGCGCAGGGAAGTCCAGACTCAGGGTTCCAAAAATTCCCATTCCCAAACCAAACAAATCATGGATCTCCCATTTAAGTGGTAGAATCAGCCTTTAGAGTTGGAAAGGTCCCCACACAATCAGCCTTCCTCCTCCTTCCCTTCTTTGGGCAGCACAAAGCACCCAGTGGTTCCCCTGCTCTACTCCTGACTACCTGAGTGAGCACATGCCCACTAGCTGATGGTTAAGAGGGAAGGGATAGTTGGTGATTTTGCAAGGTTCCTTAGAGAAGTGACTTGTCTTGAGGGGAGATTCAGGGCACCTTTCCTCAGTGAGATTTAATGTGGTCCAAAAAGAGCCTTAAATCAAGAATATTTGTGGTGGAAGTGAGTATGGGGAAGAGTGGAGAGAAGTTTAGGTTTGTGCTCTGTAAGGTTGGCTCCATGTTTTGTGCCTGCCCTCCTTCTTGGGGGAGGGGAAGGGCCACACTTGGCTCTGCTGAAAACTGGTAACAGGGCAGATCATGGTGAGGAAGTGAGTGTGAGGTCAGGTAACACTGAAGTTCCACCCTTCCCAGTCCTCCTCTTCCCCTTTGGAGGCAGTTCCCTGGCCAAGGGCAAGCTGTGTCTTAGGAAGGTGGCTCCTACGTGTCTTTCAGTATGGTTACATGTGGCCCAGACACCTTCCCTGGTACTGTCCAGCCAAATCCCAGAGCATCTTGAGCATGATCCCGACTCCCACAGCAGCAGATTGCTTGGAGTCCGTGTTTAGTGAAACAGGGTGTAGTTCTTCTCCACTCTGCGTGGGCTTGTGCAGATAGGGAGAAGTCAATGTAGTTGAAGATTGTGCAGTTCCTAGTGACAGGTGCCAAGAGGTTATGATACGGGTTTCTTGGGTCGGATGTACAGTGTGAATAAATGCTTGCAGCTCTTAGCCCTTTTTTGATCAATGAAGCACTTTTTTATTAATATTTTTCTTTGTATGTAAAGGAGGAACCGTAACTCTCCATAGCTGTACATATAACCTTTTTCTCCTAAAGAGGAGTCAGTGCTCCTATATTTTTCATTTTTTGTCAAAGCAAGAAGTAAATACTTTAGAATTGTTAAATATATAAATAAAACGAATAAAGCTGAGTGTTCTGCATGGTGGCATTTGCTAACACGTTCTAATTCTTTGCCTAGTGATTTACTCCTCTTCATCCCTTTTCCTGCTCACAAAGAAGTGGTTTGAGGTGCTGTTGGGAAGCTGACCTTTGGCAAAGGAAAAAGTTAGACTGTTTTTGGATTCTAGGCCCTGCCAAGGCACCTCACCATGATGCCTAAGCACTGAAAAACATTTCCTTAATGATTTTGCCCCTAAGATCTCCCAGGCTGAAAAAGGGCAAAGCAATCAAGAATTGTACATCAGTAGTAATTAAAACTACCTCTGACCTCTAAGCTTTTTACATTTTTTTCCTGTTGCTCTGATTTCAGGGCATCCAGTTCTCTGGGCCCTAAATTCCACCCTATCCAGGGAGCATTAACACCTGCCTGTTGCTGTGGGGAGCAGAAGGAGGCATCAGGGGAGGAAGGTTAGGAAACTGCCTGTCATTCTTAGATGAGCAGAGAGAGGAATTGGGAGCAGAAACAGAAACAGATGGGATTGGATTTTGTGCCCAACTAGTGGTCCCCTTCCCTCCCTTTCTCCATGCAGGGAGGAAACTCTGCTCTTCAGATCTTTGACTTCTGCTTCCATTTAAACAAGGCCATGACATCTGGTCACTTCTGAACTCGTTCTTGCTTTAAAAGGGGTGGATTTTCTTTCCCGTCATGGCTGTTGAGCATCCTTTTCATCTCTTGGTCTGTTGTGTACTTCTTCCCTCAGGAAAGCTGACATTGAATACCACTGACTCTGAGGTTGCTAGCCCACCATCGACAGTGAGTTGGCTGGGCTCCGAAGTGTCCTGCTCAGCCCACTCCCCCGCCTCGGAGGGCCCTAACTCCTTGAGGCTTTTGTAGGGTCACTGTGTGAATGTACCCTTTGACTAAAGAACGTAGCACTTACAGCAGATCTGCTGGTTCCAATCTCAGAGCTGTGGTACTATCTGGCAGGTGTCTGAAAATAAGCCTTTTGGAGGTGACATCTTGGACCCTTCAGTGTGCCAAGTAATCCAGTGTGTGTTCAGACCAAGTTGTGAAAAACCTGAGTGTATGTCATGACTAAAGTGTCTACACACAGCTACCATTGACTTTTGAAGTCCAGTAGTGTAATCCTCACCAAGTTAAAACATTAGCATGGTCTAGCAGGCTTGTTGGGGGGTCCATAAATGGAAAACTGCTGAAGGCAGGAGAATGAACAGCTAGGATAGCGGTGAGACCTGCACAGTATAGCTCAAAGGCCAAGAACTGCCCTTTGGAAGGTAGTGCTGCATGGAGAAAAGCATTTGTTTGTGGGTACTGCCACCTGTGTTCAGCCATCATGTGGAGGAATTAGGTCTGAAGCACTGAGGCACTAACAGTGACCTTGAGCTGCCAGGAGGTCCTTGTCATCTCTGAACTTCCCTGTCTGGCACTGTGTCATAACCTTGTTTTTAGATACCTTGTTCTCTTTAACTCCAGTCACCCTCTCCCTCAAAACACAAAATGATATGGCTGCCTTAATCTATTGGGATTTCCCAGTAAGGATGCACACAGCATCTTTTCTTTAGTTTTCTGCTTATATGCTTACTGATAAGTTCCATGTTGCAGAGAATATTCTAAGAATTAAAGTGGTACTGTGACAGATCCAAAAGAGAAGGAACAAAAACAGTGCCGTAGAATCTCTTAATCGTAAAATATATTCAAATGAAAATTGAGTGTATATCCTAGAATAAGATTACGAGCTACTGACCTTGAGATAGCTGGTGTGCTTGTGTACTTACATATAAAGCTAGAAGGTCCTATCCATGTCAAAGTTAATTCTAGATCTTTTTAAGAACAAGTGCTGATTTGAAAGTGCTGTTGAGGGATGTCGTTTGTCTGGTGCCTGTTCAAGTGCCCTGTTCTAGGGTTTTGGGTTGCAGCTGTACTCTCCCCAAAGTTGCATTGGCTGATAATAGGGCTAATGGAGTTTAAAATATACCCTGGGCTCTGGAGGAAGAGTTGCAAAACATGGCAGGAGTCCCAGCTGTTTAATGTCTAGTCACATACCCAAGACAGTTGTTCAAAGTTGAGGTTACTGACAAGATCTCTCAAGGGCAGGACCAGAATGTGTGAGATGCCTCCTGTTACGAGTAGGGCATAACCACTGTAAGCCTGTGACACTTAAACATGAGTTCCATTGCCCCAGCACCTAACTTGCTGAAGCCCTGCCTCTCTGGACTAGATAGAGATCATCTATTGTGCATTCTGTGCAGATACTGCCCTAACAGGCCTCCTCCACAGGACCAGGCATGAGGGGTATAGAGGCATCCGCTGAACTGGGAATTACAGTGTTTTTAGATGCTGCTGTTGTATTTTATTTGCCATTTAATTTCTTTTATATCTGAGTTCTTAGCTTTTCTTAAAGTGGCCATAGCAGTTGCACCTGAATTGTACTTTCAGTGAAGTTTTACATCAACATTTTAAATTGGCCTTTGATTTCCAACTGGCTTTTTTTTTTTTTTCTTTTTCTTTTTTTAAATGAGAATATAACCCATGAAGCTTGGATGTTGTTGAAATGTACTGGTGTGTTGCTGCGGACAGTAGTGCTTGCCTATTGTGACAGCATTGAATCTACTGTAGCATCACTGGCCGTTTAAGTTGAATAAATATGTCACTGTCACTCACAGTTGTTCAGGCCCTCGATTTGGGTTGTCACTATGGTTCTCCAGTGCTATGACACAGTGTCTTAGGTGTAAAAGATTAATTACTTCCGCCTCTTAGTCCAGGAGAAGAAAGGGACTCAGGAAGGAGAGGGTAGCTCAGGTCAGCATTTGTCTTCCAGAGGCACCCTGAAAACTGGATGTTTATAGAAGTGGAGAGGGCCCTTACATCACCTACTTCCCTAGTTTTCACACGGTTCTGCCAGACCGTTGTGGGGATGGAGCCCCCAGGCGCATTCAAAGCTTTATTAAATTTCCAATGAAGTGCTGATAAGAAAGGCTGGGGTTCTTAAAAGCCAAAAACTAGTGATTTAATCCAGTTTCTTCCTTTTTCATTGAGGAAACAGACTAAGGGAGGAACAAAGATCGATCCAGATTACCCAATGGGTTAATAGCAAAATCTGAATAAAAACTGTCCTGACTCCCTTCGCCTCATTTTCTTGGGCCTCCAAAAGACAGCTTTGTGTAAATAGCTGCTTTACTTTGGTTCTCTTTGAGTTAGCCAACCCACAAATTTTGGAGAGGCACTTAGGAGTTACTACCAATGGGCTTAAAATTGTGAATCTATGCTCCCTCCTAACCCAAGTCAAAGGCTTGTGATAGTGTGATGGGGTGTTTTGTTTTTCTTTATCCTTTTCAATACATAAAAACAAATGATGCTGTTCACATGAATCATCTAAATTGAAATCAAAACAAATCAGTTGGGTAGAGAGAGAGTATGTTTGATTAATAAAAACGTAGTCACAAACAGTTTTCAGCATCCAGTTGTGAAATTTGGTTGTATGATATAGAGGGAAAAAATTCTGAGTTCATATAGATGTTCACATAGGTATAAGTGGTGGTAGTCACAACTTGGTTGCAGTCTCTGGTTACTGACAAATCTGAAGTAGATGCTTCAGAAAATTAACAGGGTACTCAACACCTGCTTTCAGCCCTTAGCAAGAAACAGTAGGGGTTGTAAGCACTAGAATTCTAGGATGAGAGCCACTGGCGTTGAGTTGCCTCTGGGCTTCATGAGCACAGTGCAGGCCAGTGCCCTCCCCGTAGGTGATTCCTGTGAAGGTCACACGCACTGTGATGGCGACCTTACTGTGAGGCATTGGCAGCCTCAGCTAATTGTGTGTATGTTTACCCTTTCAAGTGTATATATAAAAGAGCAAATGCAGAGACTTGAAGTCCTGCCACGAAAGTGAATTTGAAAACCACTGGTTTGGTGGAAAGAACTAGACAGGTTGGAATCCCAGCCCTGTGGTACCAGCTGCCCGTCCTGTGCCCGTGTGAGGAACTCGGCCATTTCCTCCTCTGCAGCAGAGGACTAGCACAGAGAGGGGTCTGAAGCAGGTGTTTACTTTCCCCTGTCCCGTGGGATGAGGCGGCACATCTGTGCCTGGCTGCCCCCAGACATTCTGATCCACTGCATATTAAAAAAGAGTGACTACATGTTAAAAAGTTCTGGCGTTTCTTTTTACCCTTCCAAATAAAGAAGGGTAAAAAAATGCGTAAAAACAAACTGATCCACTGCATATTAAAAAAAAGAGTGACTACATGTTAAAAAGTTCTGGCGTTTCTTTTTACCCTTCCAAATAAAGAAGGGTAAAAAAATGCGTAAAAACAAATGATACTATTAGCATGAATCATTTAATCTCAAATCATAACATCCTAAATCAGTGGGGTGGGAGCCTGGCTGCTTCTACCTGAAAAGGGTAAATTTTTTATTTGGAAGTACTATGAAGGATTTCTTGGCGGTGCTGCAATTAAACCCAGGGCCTCGTGCATGCTAGGCAGATGGTCTGAGCTACAGCCCCAACCTAGCTGGGAGGCATTTCGGTCGCAGTTTTGCACCAAATTGCAAAGGTATCACTAGCCAAAGACAAAGTTCATATCTTTGTTTTATTAAAGGAAATAATTTTATTTATTTTTATTTTTTTTGGTTTTTCTCCGGTACCAGGAACCGAACTCACGACCTCGCACTTGCCAGGCAGGTGCTTTTGCCGCTGAGCTAAATCCCCAGCCCCAGGAAATAATTTTAGATGAAAGTCTGCCTATGCATTGATGCTTGAAAATGGTAGGCAGTGGGAAGGGTCCTGAGAGAAACTGCATTTGGGGGTTGAGGTGACAGAACTCCTGAGTCCTGCCTCAGACTGGTATGGCCTAACTTTGCTGAACACTAATATGTCTTAAATTCCTGACAGAAGACCCCCGGCTGAGGAGCAGGCACTTGGAACTTTCCCCAGCCCCCAGCAGCATAGGTGCCTAAATAGAAGCCCAGGGCCAGCTGCCCTTTAGTCAGCATCACTGTAAGTCCCTCAGCCCAAGATTGGAAGAGGAAGTGAAGAACTTATATTCAGATGGCCTTTTCTGCCAGCTCAGTGCCGCAAGAGTCCATATTTAAGACTATAAAACAGACGTGAGTACATAGTAAATGGTTCCCCACTACTTTTTGCCAGTTGGAAGATTAATCCCTAGAACTAGAGGTTCCTTCAACTTCCCCAGAAGACACCGGTACCAACTGGCATACACTCTGTACTGGCACAGCTCTGTCAGCCCTTGGGACATGACATCCATAGGCTTGGGGTATGTTCCTGGCACCTCGGGGGTGGTAGGAGTCTGTTCTCTGTCATCTGACTTCATAATAAGCCGGCTAGCTGGTGCCTTAAACTCCTGGCTGGGCCTGAGGATAAAGGCAAGATGTCAATATGTCAGTCTGTGTTGCTGAGATGAGAGATTGCCATGGAAGGCCAGTAGTAGAATACTTACCTCTGAGTAGTTGCCCCTGAGCCCTGGAGAAGGATCTTTGTTTCAGTTGATTGAGAGGAGGGGGTGAGCATATAATCCCAGCATTCTGGGAAGCTGAGGCAAGAGGATTGCAAAGTCAGGCCCAGCTTGGGTGATTTAGCAATTTGGTGAGACACCCGCCCCCGCCTCAAAAAATAAAGGACTGAACATGTGGCTCAGTGTGAAGGTCCTGGGTTCAGTCCCCAGGACTGAAAACCAAAAGCCTTCCCATGTCTCAGAGGAGGGTGGCCTTGAACACTTGGCCCCCTTGCTCTTGGATCAGTGTCCCCAGAGGAGCTGAGAGGCAGCCAGTAATGCACCTGAGTTAGTGCCTCTCCACTAACAGCATACCTCAGTGCCACCTCTGGAAGCAGCCTGGGTGGGCCCTGCTCAGGTGAACCCAGGGAGTGCTGGTGAGAAATGAGTGATTCTCAGAACAGGGTTTTCTTTTTTCTTTTTCTTTTTTTTCTTTTCTTTGTCTGAGAGAGTCTCGCTATGCAGTTCAGGCTGGCCTTGAGCTCACTTTGTAGTCCAGGCTGGTGTTGAACTCACAACGATCCTCCTGCCTCAGCCTCCCAAGTGCTGGGATTACAGGAATGTGCCACCATGCCCAGCACAACAGGGTTTTCCTTCTCCCTGCTGTACCTACATCTTGGAGCTCAGGGTGTGGGTGGGACAAGAACAACTCACCAATACTGCCACTTTTCCTCTTTGACTTCCTAAATACCCACAGGTTCCACTACAGTCCCACTTGGGCTGGGGACCCTGGGCACCCAGGTATAACCACTGTGACAGTGAGCAGGCCAAACATAGGTGACCAGGGAGGTCATCCTGCAGGTGAGTGTCTCCAACGAAGTCCTGGTCTTTTTTTTTTTTTTGGCACTGGGGATCGAACTCAGGACCTTGCGCTTGCCAGGCTGTGCCACTGAGCTATATCCCCAGCCCGAAGTCCTGGTCTCCTGAAAAGGAAGCACACTGCCATTTGCAGTTCATCTTGAGTTGGCCAGCATGGGCAAGAGCCAGTCCCCAGTTCCTGGGCTCTGAGAACTGCAGTGCCAGGAAGTGCACAGGATGAGGGCCTGTGGGCTAAAGCACTTTCAGCTGCCCAGAATTTGAACATCTCGGGTAACTCAGGCCTTTTGAAGGTTGTTCTCACTGTACAGTAGGTTCTTCTGGAGGTTCTTCTCATTTTAAAATAATTACACTGAGCTTGGGGAGGTGCTTAGCGGTAGAGCACTTGCCTAGCATGTGGGAAGCTGTCAGTTCCACCCCCAGCAGTGGAAAATAATAATGATAGTGTTGTTAACACAAATTTACTACAAAAATGTATATAATTGTAAGTAAAATTCCTGTTTCCTGGAGGCAACTGACTTACCTGAGGGGTTGTCATGGCTTTGTTATTTTTAAATACTATGCAGCAAGGCTTTACTATCTTTGCTGCCTGTTACACACTAGTCAAACCGCAGTACAAATTTTTCCTTCCAGCAAAAGCTCTAACATAAGTGACAAAAATGACACCAACCACATGGTGTGGGGTTTTGTGCCCTCTCATGCCCTTAGTCTCTTTCAGCCTGATTTGGCTCCTCCCCTGTCCCTAAAGCTATCAAATCTTCGGACCTGAAAAGCAAGCTGTTGCAAGTCCACCGAGTGTCCCTGTCCTTCACTTCGATGCAGGCCCTCCAGAGAGAGTGGGCCTCCGCTCCGTCAGCTCTTCTTCCTCACCACACTCCCGCTGTCCCTGATGCTGCGCTGGGGCCATCTGCGCACTCCAGCCCCTGCTCCGAGAGCAGTGCCTGCAGCAGGGATGAACATTGGTCCTTGTTTGACTTCTCCAACCTGAAGTCGGAAGTTTCCTGTTTTCGTGTTGCAGCTGAATTGCGCCCAACACCTCTGTGGGTCTTTCTTGGGACTTGGAATACTGCCATTCAGTCCCTTTAGGAAGCTCTGCATAGGAAGTTCTGACACATACCATGGCATGAATGAACCAGAGTGGCCACAGCCATTGCACACGGCTCTGTGTGCTGCTCTAGGGAGTGCAGGAGGCTGTAGCAGGACCTCTTGAGACACCCTTGGCACCCACATCCTGCAGGTAGCCCTGCCCTCCGAGGCACTCGGAGACCCACCCCCCACTCCCATCTGTCTGAGATCAAGAGCCAGGCTGGCTGCTTGGGCCCCTTGGCCTGTT